GTCCATACGGAAGATTAGGCGGCGTACCAACAGCCGAGTGAGCTGTGAAAACTTGAGCTACGCTATATCGCCATCCTTATAGCCATCTCTTTATCAGCCACAAGATGGCTTAAAAACACTCTCTTACACCCGGACCTTAATTACTTACGCAGTTGTAAAAATATGGTTTGTAGGTGTCGTCAAGCGTTGTTATCATTCTAATATAATTGGGATGCGATATAACGGGTTGCAGAGAGTTGCGAGGAGATCAGAGTTCAAGAAGCTGGATGTCAGAGATCTGGTATTGCTTGGTGCGTATAAGAACACTATGTATACAGTGCTTTCTCGTTAGTGTTTGTATACAAAGCTGTTTAGTTAAGCTATGGTAGAAATAATAGTCAGCATCTCTGCGCAGTGTGGATGGCACTTAAGCATCAGGCCTGAGAGAGAAAAGTTTTTACGGCAATGCTTGTGGCCGTGGTGTGCAGCTGCTATTGTAATTAATTAGGGGAAGCGACCAGCGTGTGTCCTGGTGTCAGGAGATCAGACCAGTTACCCAGGTGTCTGGTTATCAGACCGGTTACCCGGGGTGTCTGGATATTTGACCGGTTTCATCAACACAGCAGGTATATAACCACACCACTGACGTTTGTAACATCAGTTTCATACGAGAACACCATTCGGACGTTCAGTGACTTCATTGGGTAAGCTCATGATATTTATAATGTGAAGGCGCGGGTGAATCGAGAGTCGCGGAAATGGCGATTCGGGAAGTAGAATTCGGGGATAGCGTTCGGGAGGGAAAGTACCGAACACCAAAACCGCCGAAATCACCGAATAATAACACACTGGTAAACAGGAACAGCCAATCACAGGGCTCGGCCAGTGAGCGATCAATCGGTTGATCACGTGTTAGTTAAGCGTGCGTGACAGAGCGTACGTGTTAGGGGCGCGCTGTAATAGGCTACTGACTCATGGGGCAGGAGCCCGCGAGGGTATAAGAGGGCACGGCGCGCCTGATGATACGCAGTTGAGTTGATAAGAAGAGTAGAGTTGAATAAGGAGTTGGAGAGTTGAAGAGGAAGCAGTAGTAGAGCAGAAGCAGTAGGGGAGAGCAGTTAGATAGATATAGATAGAGACTTCTAGAAGCTTGTTCTAGAGTTCTCGGGGGAAGTAGAGGGTTTGTGTAGGGAGTTATTCAGGAACCTACTGATGTGTATTTCGGAGTTCAATGAGTTACTCGTAACGTTGAGCGAGTAAACTATTGTGCGGAAGATATATTCCTGGAATTAACACCAGCGCCGAAACGAGTGAGTACAACTCAGGAAGCTCTTTGAAAGCTGCTCGTTTGATTACCAGTTATATTATTCAGTATGTATCTTACCCATTCTTTCGTTGTGTTGTAATAAACATTATTCACTCTTAGCACACTTTTGCCTGCATATAGCATCTTCTTCAGAAACGCAATCTACATCGTAACTTAGTGTACATAGAATCTACAGTGTATGACATCACTGCGCAAACGCTGGGTTTAAAAGAGCTTATTCTACGATGAAAATGTAACGGTTTGGGATATGAACAGCTTTTAAGTCCATACTGAAGATCAGGCGGCGTACCAACAGCCGAGTGAGCTGTGAAAATTTGAGCTACGCTATATCCCCATCATTATAGCCATCTCTTAATCAGCTACAAGATAGCTTAAACAGACTCTCATACACCCGGACCTTAATTACTTACGCAGTTGTAATAATTATATGGTTTGTAGATGTCGTCAAGCGTTGTTGTCATTTTAATATACTTGGGATGCGATATAAAGGGTTGCAGGGAGTTGCGAGGAGCTCAGAGTTCAAGAAGCTGGATGTCAGAGATCTGGTATTGCTTGGTGCGTGTAAGAACATTATGTATACAGTGCTTTCTCGTTAGTGTTTGTATACAAAGCTGTTTAGTCCTGCTATGGTAGAAATAACAGTCAGCATCCCTGCGCAGTGTGGATGGCACTTAAACACCAGGCACGTACAGGTGTGCAGCTGCTGTTGTAATTAATTAGGGGAAGCGACCAGCGTGTGTCCTGGTGTCAGGAGATCAGATCGGTTACCCAGGTATCTGGTGATCAGACCGGTTACCCGGGGAGTGTGGATATTTGACCGGTTTCATCGACACAACAGGTATATAACCACCCCACTGACGTTGATAACATCAGTTTCATACGAGAACACCATTCGGACGACCAGTGACTTCATTTGGTAAGCTGATTATATTAATATTAATTCCGTTTATTTATTTTCGTGATGTAATATGTTCCAGACGGCACAGTCGTAAAATGACGCGTGTTGTTTATATGATAATGATTCGATTTACAGAATAAACAGTTGAATAATGAATATGAATATAATACGCGGTCTTTGATACAAAGCTATTTGTATTCTCTTTTCTCTTTGCTAATTTGTAGGCGAGCCTACATAAGACGTTAATTTTATGCATGTGACGTGGCCGTCTTCGTAGCAAAACACGGGATCGCAGCTTAAACGCCAGACAGGATATAAATCTCACGCGTGTGACCAGTACGTGGCAGCCTTCCCTGAAGCACGATGGAATACGTGACAATTCATTCCGGGAAAAAACCATATAAGTGCGATCTGTGTGATGCTGCCTTCTCCCGTCTGAGTGCTGTGAAGATACACATGAGAACGCACACGGGAGAGAAACCGTATAAGTGCGATCTGTGTGAAGCCGCATTCTCCTGTCTGAGTAGTGTGAAGAGACACATGAGAATTCACACGGGAGAGAAACCGTATAAGTGCGATCTGTGTGAAG